CAGAGGACAGGAGCAGAATTCAAAACGATCTTGACAGATTAGAGAGATGGGCCAAAACTAACAAAATGAAGTTCAACAGTGACAAATGCAAGCTACTCCACTTTGGCAGAAAAAATGAAATGCAAAGATACAGAATGGGTGACGCCTGGCTCGAGAGCAGTACGTGTGAAAAAGATCTTGGAGTCCTCGTGGACAACAAGTTAAACATGAGCCAACAATGTGATGTGGCGGCAAAAAAAGCCAATGGGATTTTGGCCTGCATCAATAGGAGCATAGTGTCTAGATCTAAGGAAGTCATGCTACCCCTCTATTCTGCTTGGTCAGACCACCTGGAATACTGTGTCCAATTCTGGGCACCACAATTGAAGAGAGATATTGACAAGCTGGAATGTGTCCAGAGGAGGGCACTAAAATGATCAAGGGTCTGGAGAACAAGCCCTATGAGGAGCGGCTTAAGGAGCTGGGCATGTTTAGCCTGAAGAAGAGAAGGCTGAGAGGAGATATGATAGCCATGTATAAATATGTGAGGAGGGAGGAGGGAGCAAGCTTGTTTTCTGCTTCCTTGGAGACTAGGACGCGGAACAATGGCTTCAAACTACAAGAGAGGAGATTCCATTTGAACATGAGGAAGAACTGCCTGACTGTGAGAGCCGTTCAGCAGTGGAACTCTCTGCCCCGGAGTGTGGTGGAGGCTCCTTCTTTGGAAGCTTTTAAACAGAGGCTGGATGGCCATCTGTCGGGGTGATTTGAATGCAATATTCCTGCTTCTTGGCAGGGGGTTGGACTGGATGGCGCATGAGGTCTCTTCCAACTCTTTGATTCTATGATTGTGGGCCATCCAATCCAACCTCAATCTGCCAAGAAGCAAGAAAATCACATTCAAAGCACTCTCAACAGATGACCATCCAGCCTCTGCTTAAAAGCCTCCAAAGGAGGAGCTTCTACCACAGAGCAGAGAGTTCTACTGCTGAAGAGCTCTCACAGTCAGGAAGTTTTTCCTGATGTTCAGGTGGAATCTCCTTTCCTGTCATTTGAAGCCATTGTTCCATTGAGCCCTAGTCTCCAGAGCAGCAGAAAACAAGCTTGCTCCCTCCTCCCTATGACTTCCCCTCACCTGTTGATACAAGGCCCTCATCATGTCTCCTCTTAGCCTTCACTTCTTCAGGCTACACATGCCCAGCTCTTTAAGCCGCTCCTCATAGGGCTTGTTCTCCAGATCCTTGATCCTTTGAGTCGCCCTCCTCTGGACACACACCAGCTTGTCAACATCTCCCTTCAATTGCAGTGCCCAGAATTGGACACAGTATTTCAGGTGCAGTCTGGCCAAGGCAGAAAAGAGGGGTAGCATGACTTCCCTGGATCTAGACCAGGGGTCCTCAAACTAAGGAACGGGGGCCAGATGCGGCCCTCCAAGGTCATTTACCTGGCCCTCACTCAGGGTCAACCTAAGTCTGAAATGACTTGAAAGCACACAACAACAACCCTATCTCATCAGCCAAAAGTAGGCCCACACTTCCCATTAAAATACTAGTAAGTTTATATTTGTTAACATTGTCCTTCATTTTAATTATTGTATTGTTTTAAGTGTCTTTTGCACTACAAATAAGATATGTGAAGTGTGCATAAGAATTCATTCATGCTTTTTTTATTTCAAATTATAATCCGGCCCTCCAACAGTTTGAGAGACTGTGGCCTGACACTCTGTTTAAAAAGTTTGAAGATCCCTGATCTAGACACTAGACTCCAAAGGTATGCCAAAGGTACTTGGAATTCTCCATCACAAAGCTGTAGTGATGTTGTTCAAACGGTTTGGATTACTGCAATGCGCTCTACGTAGGGCTGCCCTTGAAAACGGCTCGGAAATTCCAACTGGTCCAACGGGCAGCAGCCAGGATGTTAACCGGGGCTCATTACAGAGAGAGGTCAACCCTCCTGTTCAAGGAGCTCCACTGGCTGCCGTTTATTTTCCGAGCCCAATTTAAGGTGCAGGTGCTTACCTACAAAGCCCTGAACGGTTTGGGACCACCCTACCTGTGTGACCGCATCTCCGTCTACGAACCCACGCGTTCACTTCGGTCATCTGGAGAGGCCCTGCTCGTGATCCCGCCTGCGTCGCAAGCGCGCTTGGTGGGGACTCGAGACAGGGCCTTTTCTGTGGTGGCCCCCCGACTCTGGAACGCCCTCCCAAAAGATCTTAGACAGGCCCCTACACTGGCAGTCTTCAGAAAGAACTTGAAGACCTGGCTGTTCCGATGTGCCTTCTCAGATTAGGAATCTCCAATACCAAGTCCTAGAAGCACTTTAGTAGAACTAAGATTGCTGCACACCGCACACTGCACTTACTTTATAATCCTACATACCTCCTGCCACATCAGCACTTTTAATCTTGTACCCATTACTCTGGCCCGGCCCAGTTTTATAGTGTCTTGATGTATTGTTTATGTTTGTTGTTATACTGCTTAACTGTTTTTAATTTGCTTTAGGTATTGTATTGTTGTATGGTGTTTTGAGGCCTTGGCCTATGTAAGCCGCATCGAGTCCTTCAGGAGATGCTAGCGGGGTACAAATAAAGTAATAATAATAATAATAATAATAATAATAATAATAATTATTATTATTATTATTATTATTATTAACGGTGGGGGGTAGCTTTCCAACTCTAAAAGCCCAGATTCCAAAGCCATCAGAATCAGATGGGATCAGAATCATCATTAGCAATGTACAAGAGTTGTAGTTTGACAAGCATTCTTTGACAGGCAAGACTAAAGACCTTCCAACTCATAGCACTGAGCCATAGCAGAAAGTGGTAGCAAACTGGATTAATTGTACAATGTTGATGCACCCTAGAAAGGTAGAGCTACGTTTAAATGCAGTAGAGGATTAGGATGAGAACATGCTTGTAAATAATAATAATAATCTTTATTTATACCCCGCCACCTTCTCCGCAGTGGGGACTCGAAGTGGCTTACATGAGGCCAAGCCTGAACAAATTACAATAAAATAAAACTAAAACACAACCGAAAATGCAAACAGTAAACAACATCATAATAAAATAAAACATGTAAATACATAACAATATAAAATTACAATAGGTGCAATCACAATGACAATGGGCGGGCTACATGTAATGATTAAAAGAGAGACTAATTAAAACTAATTAAAACTCGGGCGAGATAAAAAGAGACAGATTATTTGTGGAGGAAGGCTCATTATAGCAGGGGTTGTGGACTCAAGCTTTCCCACAGAGCGGGGGACGACATATACTCCAATGACAGAACATTGAGGCTAAGCAGTAGTGTGGGATTGTATACCTACTCTCCAAAGGCGCAGCAGAAGAGCCAGGTTTTAAGGTCCTTTTTAAAGGTTTCTAGGGTAGGGGCTTTCCTAATTTCTCCAGGTAGTGAGTTCCAAAGTCGTGGGGCCACAGAGGAGAAAGCTCTCTCCCTTGTGCTTACCAGGAGAGCTTGTGAAACTGGCAGGGGCGAAAGAAGGGCCTCCCCAGATGAACGGAGGGCCTGAGATGGTACATGGAGGGAGATACGGTCACGAAGGTAGGTGGGTCCCAAACCGCTTAGAGCTATGTAGGTGATAACCTGCACCTTGAATTGGGACTAGAAAATAAATGATGATGAATCTTCCTTGCAACTGCAGGCAATAATAATAACAACTTGTAACAATTATTATTATTATTATTATTATTATTATTATTATTATTATTATTATTTCACATGGACATGATTGTGGAAAAAAACAAAGTATGGGTGTTGCAATCTCAGGTGGCAGCAGAATTGGTGAGAAGCAACTGGAAAAGCTTACAAGATATGAGGATTTAAAAATTGAACTGCAAAGACTCTGGTACAAGCCAGGCAAGGTATTCCCAGTGGTGATTGGCACACTGGGTGCAGTGCCTAAAGACCTTGGCTTGCATTTAAAAATAATCGGTGCTGACAAAATTACCATCTGTCAGCTGCAAAAGGCCACCCTATTCAGATCTGCATGCATTATTCGCCAATACATCACACATTCCTAGACACTTGGGAAGAGTCTGGAGTGCGATCGAATACAAAAGCCAGCATAACGATCTCGTTTGCTATGTACTAATCTTGTTGTTTATCAAATCTATATAAATAAAAACGTAATGTTCGTTTGTGGGATTAACAGAACTCAAAAACCACTGGACAAAATGACACCAAATTTGGCAGCAAAACACATTCTAATCCGATCTATGTCTTCCGAACAAAAAAAACCCGTAAAAATTGAAGAGGAAATAACTTAAAACTCCCCAAAAAGAAAAATGCCTTGCAGAGCATGTGCAAAAGCTCTCCCCATTGCGCGAGAAGAATGAAGCACCAACCGTTGTGAGGGAAGAGAAGCCTCGCCATGGAGTCCCTTTCCATGTGTGGGCCCTCCCTCCTTCCCTCCCTCCCTCCCAGTCTCCTTCCTCTCTTTGTCGGCCCCACCAAACACAGACCTCTCCTCCTTCTTTTCCCCCTGGAGAGGCTGGTGGGTGGCTGCTCCGTGTGGACGCTGCTCGCCAGGCTTCACCTTCCCTTGCCTGGGCTCCAAGGAGAAGGGAATTCTGCAGCCCTCAGCCTTGCAGGGCCCGGTGGGGGCGGGAGGCATTTTTTGAGGTGGGCCTTGCTCACCCACATTGGCCTCTTCTTTCTGCCTCAGCCGCAGGGTGCCTTCCATATGACCCCACCTGCGTGCCCACCCGCCAAACAGGGAAGGTGCCCCACGGCCATGGCAGAAAG